GGCCATTTGTATATCTACTTTGGAGAAATGTCTATTTATATTCTTTGCCCATGTTTATCTTTCAGTTGTTTATTTAAAGAGTTCTTTATATATTCTGAATACCAGAATAATCAGACATATGATTTGCAAATATTTTCTCTTATTCTGTGGGTTGTCTTTCAACTTCCTTTCTTCATCAATGTCCTTTGATGAAAAAAGTTTTAAATTTCGATGAAGTCCATTTCATCTATCTTTATTGCTCAAGCTTTTGGTGTCATATCTAAGAGTCTACTTCCAAATCCAATGTTGTGAAGATTTACGTTTTCTTCTAAGAGTTTTATAGTTTTAGCTCTTACAGTTAGGTCTTTGATACATTTTGAGTTAATTTTTATATATAATGCGAGAGAGAGGTCCAACTTTATTCTTTACATGTAGATATCTAGTTATTTAGTACCACTTGTTGAAGAGACTATTGTTTCATTGAATGATCTTGGCCCCCTCATCGAAAATTGGCCATAGATGTATGAGTCTGCTGTGATTTTTGAGATGATTGTTTCCTTTCTCTTCAGTATCACTTTGTCCTCTGTGTGTATTCTATAAGCAGTGTAATTTGGTTTATGCTTTTGAACTTCATATAAAAGGAAGCTTAAAATGTATTATTTTGTGTGTTGTCATTTTGTTTTATATTACATTTACAGTCAATTTATGGATTTAGGTTAAGGTGAAATTCATTTTCATTGATGTATAACATTCTATTGTATGACTATACCAGATTATATTATCTATTTTACTCTTATGAGATATTTGCATTGTTTTCAGTTCATCAATTCATCTAACGATTCTTAAAAATGTGCATACAGGTGTGGATGAGTAGGGGTGACCTTTTAGCAAATGTTTGTTAGATGAATGAGTGAATAATAGTACAGGGGGATTAGGAAATATTTTTGGTGCCCATAAAAGAGATGGATATGTAGGGCACACTTTCAGAAAATTGTGAGCATTCCTCAGTGGTAAAGCCTGTAGGTATCTTCAGTTTAGACTTTGGCTGGGTAGTAACTGGAGAGCAGTTCAAGAGAATGGTGTTTTGTGGGCATTATCATCTGCCACACTTGAGTAATAGATCTGTGTTTCTCTAAGATGTATGTTTAGGGTTTTCCCTGTTTGTATCAAGCAAATAGGAAATGTTTCATGAGAAATATGGGAGGAAAAATAGTAATTTCATTTCTTTTACTCTGCAGGAATTCTTTGTTTTTGTTTTTGTTTTCATAGTAAGCTGTTAATTTAGACCATAGCTCTGTACAAAAATAAAATGGTTTTCATTAGATTAACAATTTAAATACTTGATAGAACATTCTTTTTCATTTTTTTATAGCTCATCTTTGGAATTGATACTCAGTTCATGCTTTCCTTTTCTTGATCCAGGATTGTAATCACTTTGTTGGCTTATATCCACTCGTGCAAAAAAGACAGTTAACACATTTCTGTTACAAGCATAATAATCAGCCCCAGTGGTAGTTGCTTCCCCAACACTTCAGGCATCCATCTATACATGGATTGTTGCTAAATGCAGTTAAGGATTAAACCTCGCCTTCATCCCTTCATTGGTTCCTACTCCTAACTTCCTAGGTCCTAAGCAATTTCCAAGATTTCTCTCTTGCAGCAAAGTCTTGTATGTTAATTAACTATATATTACCTTTCTACTTTGTTATCTCATAGACATCTCCTGCTCAGTTCTCCAATTCAGTGTTTAAGCTGACTTCACCATTTTCTCCTCTACACATTATGCTAAATGAAATCAGTCAGACAGGGAAAGACAAATATATGTGTCTCCCACTTTCAAAAGTTTGTGTTATGCTACTTTGCTTTTACAAAAAACGCTACATTAGTACCTGTTTTTGCTAACTGAAAGAAATCCAAAGAAGATTTTCATGTTTACAAAGGCAAACAAGGAAAAACAGCATTCAGAATTTGTTTTGCAGCCACTATGGAGGTGGCACACACCCCAAACAGTGAGGGCGGCACTGCCAAGCTCCTTCCCTGGGAACTGTACTCAGCATCAAGCTGCCATAGCTTTTGAACAGTGTCTGTGAACATATGTGCTTTATCTCTATTTATTTTGTGCATCTGTTTGTGCAATGTGTCATAAGGTACCAGAAAAGCCTAAGAGAGCTTGTAAGGGTGCATAGTGTACAACTAGATGTAATTATGCATATTTGGTATGATTTAATAAAGTATTTTTTAGGTCTGAGAATTCTCAAAATGTTTTCCCTATAAATGAATGGTAATTGCTTCTTTGCTTTCTGCCTCTCAGCTTACAAAAGGTTTTATAGTAATGCTCTACTTTCAAAAAGCAGAGGAAACCTGTACTTAGGATTTCACTTAAATGTGGAATCTAAAAAAACAAAACAAAAAAACCCCAAGCTCATAGATACAGAAAACAGTTTGATAGTTGCCAGAGGGTGGGGAGTAGGTGAAATGGGCGAAGGGGGTCAAAAGGTACATTATAAAATAATGATTATAAAATAAATAAAATAAATAAGTCATGGGATGTAATGTACAGTTTGGTGACTATAGTTAATAATACTGTATGGCATATTTGAAAGTTGCTATCAGTAAATCTTGAAAATTCTCATCAGAAGAAAAAAATGTGTAACTACGTGGTGATGGATGTTAACTAGACTTAACTGTGGTAATCATTTCATCGTGTATACAGATATAGAATCATATTGTACACCTGAAAATAATATAAGGTTGTATGTCAATTATACCTCATATTTAAAAATTTTTATAAAAATTTTTTTAAAGAGGAATTCTGTTTTGTGTTGTTTTACTAACCAGGCTTGGTTAGGTGTGCTGTAGGTTTGCTATTCAACAACTTAATTTGAAATGAAGGAAAGAGAACATTAAAGGAAAAAAAATACACATTTAGTAAGATCATATTCTAGTGTAGGCTAGAAATTCTAGTTCAGATTTAATATAAGTATATAAAATATCTTATTTCTGCTGTTATAATTTAACACTAGAGCTCAGAGAAAGTGTTGCTTTCGATGTGTAGAAGGTATCTAAATGTTACAATTATGTAGCATCTTTTTAGTGCCTCTTTGTTCAGGTTAAATGCTTTGATTATACCCTGTTTATTTCAATTGTTCAGCTTGCCTCGGCTTGATGAAAGGAATTAAGGGGTGTCAAGACAGGGCATTAAAAACACACCTGGTTTCTTCACGATTAGAGGCCTTAAGAGAAATGTTTGAGGACTTTAGTCATATGTCAGAATTTAACATTACTGAGGTTTTAGCATTTGAGGGAGAGGGGAGAATAGGATAATTTTTGTCTTAGTAGTTTTATGTAAATCTTTAAAAGATTTATACTAATATCTATGGAATACAAAGGACATTGTAGCACTGTATTCATAAAGCTAAAATTTTGAAGTATGCGAATGAGGATTGACGACATTAAAGAAAACAGGAACATATCTAGGAGAAATGTAGGCCACAAAGTTGAGGTTAGAATTATATCTGACATTTTTATTTGTTTGTTTGTCTTTCTTTTGAGCAGAAAAAAGGAGATGATATATTTTGAATACCCAGTGGTTTTTTTTTTTTTTTAACGTAAAGGATATAAGGGAATTAATAGACGAGTTTGTCAGAGAACCAGAATGTACCTCCACATCTATATGTAAAGGGTTATTAAATCTACTTACTGGTTAATAGGCAGAAAGGTTCTTGAGGATAGTATGTAAATTCCAAGGTGCCGTGCATTATTATAATGCATAAAACTTGCTAAAATGTAGTAATGTAGTGGTAAACCATTAAACAATGGATAGATTTTGTGTATTTACCCCAAATGCAGGAAAGGCCATGCTTCCTCCTTTGTAGCCATGGAATTGTCTCTTTAAATAGGACCTTCTTATTATAGTTTTTTTTCTTTTCTTTTCTGATAGTAAGCTCCTACTAAAAATTTATAATACAAGTTATTGAGAACCATCCTGCCTTATTTCATACTTTACTCTTTCCAAGAATGCCTAGTCACAAAATAAAATCTTCAGTTAGGAAATTGTCAAAAATAGAAAAGGCTTCAGAGAGTTAGAAAAAAGTTGAAAAGGGTTGGTTTGTCATTTCGATTCCATTTTTGTCATTGTTTTCTTCCATCAAGAAAATCTGCTGGGGCTTTGGGGGAGGGTGAAGTGGGTAAAGGGGATCAAATATATGGTAGCTGAGGGAAACTGGACTCTGGGTGGTGATCATACAGTGGAATGTATAGATGTTAAATTATAATGTACACCCGAAAGTTACATAGTTGTATTAACCCGTGTTACCCCAATAAGCTTAAAAAAATTAGAAATAAATAAAAAGAAAATCTGCCTCCTAGTAGTATTAGGTCTTGTCTGTGTGCATCCATACTTATAGTATCTTTTGACGACTGGCATGTTAAACTTGAAAAATAAACCTGGATCTTAAGGAAATCAGTGGGATATAGTAAGATGCTGTATACAATCTAATTCTCCCTTTCTTAGAACTAGCTCCAAAAAAAATGAAAAGTGAAATATATTTGGTTTTAGGTGGAATTTAGACTCTAGAAAGAAACCAGGCTTAAGAGTCTGTTTCTACTGTTTAACCGTGTGTGTGTGTGGCTCTCCTAGTCTCTTTAAAGTGTGAAAAATAACAATACCAGAGTCATAGCATTGTTTAACTAAAACAATGCGTGTAAAACACTTAGTAGTGTGTCCAGAATATAATAAAGAAAAAAAAATTCCTACATGCATGGAGTCTTGTGTTATACATCTTTTTTTTTATCCTTTGGTTATTTCAGCCTCCTCAGGTCCACTGTGGAATAAGTGTGGCATTAAGGGTGGCAAGTGCTCCTGCAGTCAGTGTGGGCAGCATCTAGAAACTGATGCTTTCCCTAGGCAGAATTAATTGGTTCCAAATATCCCAAAGGAGTAGATACAAGGAAAAGATGAAATTGACATGGCTTTAAAAGGATCTTCTCTTTATATGCTTTTCATTTTTTTTTTTAAACAGTGCCTTTGAAGATGAGACCATGAAGCTTCGACAGCTGAAACTAGATAATCAGGTGAGCAGAGTCTCTTCTTTTGAAGTATAAGTGAAGCCCTGAACTGACCACGATGCCAGTGGTCTTGGCTCTGAAGTCTTGGCAGGGTCACGGAAAGACTGGAAAGGAAAAGGCTCTGATGTTACTCACTAACAGTGTCTAGAGTTAGTATTTGCTGAACTAAGGCCCTGGGCTATGGCAAAACCAAAGTGCTTTGAGGAGATCAATAAAACTGGCCTTGAATTTATAATCACTGAAAATTCCTTGGCACCTTTCACAAGAATTATAAGAATGTTAACATTGTAATTCTATGTAGTTATTTGGTCCTGCTGCCTTAAATACCTCTCTACACTGTAATTACATTTAATGACAAGATTTTTTTCTTATCCTAATGTGCTTATCTGAACATGCTGCTGTACTGTTTAAAGAAGTCCATTGCCTACAGAATAATTTCCTTCACAGCACTGGTCCCAGTTTTAGCTACACATTAACTTTTTCTTTTTGCAATGATTTGATTATATCTGTTTCCTCCACTAGACTAAGTTCCATAAGAATACGAAGCAAGTCTGTTTATTATGACTATTATATCAGAAGTTCCTGGCATAAGGCTGGGCACATAATAATCCTTCATTCAATATTTTAGCGAAAGAAGGAATAAATGAACAGAGTTTTGTATTGTCACATGCTATGATCATCTTGATTAGTCAGCTTAAAACCTATACCCAACAGAGCAGTTTGCTTTTTCATGTGAATGTTTTCTAATTTAGGAAATTTTATAGCTCCTGTCTACCTATGTAGGACCTTTACCAACCAAAGTGTCTAAACTCCAGAGGTGACAAAAAAATATATCTAAAGTTTTGTCTTGCTTCTTTATCTTGCCATTGGAATTAATAATGGGACTTATAGCGTAATAAATTACTTTAAAGATAGACTCATTAAAAACTAGTAAAGAGTTCTGGGCAGACCGTGAGAGGTGCGGAGCAGGGCGAGGCAGAGGATGGAACGCCACGCCCATCGCTGGAACCACATTGGCACTTGGCACTCCAGTGCGGCCTTCCCCGCGGGGCACTTTTCCAAGGCCTTCGTGGTGATGGCGCCACCATGGAGACTGTCATCGCATTCCACTGCCCCTCAGACCACCAGAGGGTGGGACGTGGCGCCCAGTGGTCTTCAGGGATCCCGTGTGGAAGCCCATGCCACCACAGGAGATCTTAAGCTTCAAGGCTGCAGTGATCGCCTTCCTCGTCCGCTGCGCCAGTGTCCTGCTTGCCAGGGCCTTTCTCACCTGCAGCCTCATGCGGTGAATGGAGAGGAGTGAGCCTCTGTGCGCAGACAGGGCAGCTCCAGCCGCACAGCTCGGCCTAAGGGCCTGAAAGACAACAGCAGCACCATGGCAAGCCTAGAGCTGTGCCGCCTTGCCCATCCGGTCATGCAGCAGCCACAGCTTCACTGCCCTTGGCAAGGACACCACAGGGCCGGCCAGTGTGGACAAGGACCCTGGGGCCCGGCGCTCTGAAGTCTTTCCCATGCCCGGTGACAGTACAAACAGCATACCTTGCCTGCAGCTGGCTGCGGGAGTGCCTGCTCACCGTGCACTCCACTCCAGGAGGGCCAGGCCTGCCCCATGAGCTGGTCATCTGCATCTCCAAGTGTGTCCAGCTCCAGTCTGATCAGTGAAATCCACTTAGAGAGACTTCAGTGCACGCCCAACGCTGGGAGCCCCAGCTGGGGTGACCTGTCCCCTAGGGAGCGTTGCTGTAGCAGTTTTTATGGCTTGAAACCACTGCTAAGATTAAGTATACCAGCTACAGCCTCCCTCCAACCGGCTTCCTTTAAAGAGACCGGGGGACATTTTAAGCAAATATAGTTTTTCAGGGCAGAGTAGGAAAACTGCAACAAACTTCCCAGCAGTTACTGATGGCTGCCTCTGCACCTTCCTCCTAGGGTGTGCTCCCTCTAAGTGGAGACTCAGGCAGGGGTATGCATCCATCATAATTGAAATAAACAATTCTAATACTGAAGAAAATAAATGAAAGGAGGAAAGAAACTAATTTTCCCAGGACCATGGAGAACATTCTGATTTTGTATATATATATTCCCCCCACAAAGATCAGAATAATTATAATGAGTCTTTATTTTCTACGTTCTATTGCATAGCAAACTGTATTTAGGGAAAAATAACCACAAAGCTTAGATCTTTGTTTGATTTATTTTTATAAGGCTAAATGGCATATTTCTTGTTAACATTAAATGAAATCCATGGTCATCTACCAAGTAATGATATAAAACATGTTTTTTAATTTTGTGTAGTTTCTGAATTTTGTATATTGATATATTTTCTGGATTAAAAAAATTGCCCAAATATTTTGTAAATTTTATTCTTTTCAATGAGAGTGCTACATGTGGCATATATGTGGTATAAATGTTGGGATTTTGTAAGCCCTTTTATAGCACAAATATTTTTTAAGTTGTTTTTAATGGTTATAAAAGCATATTGGAAGAATTCAAATAATACAAAAAAAGATATTTGATGAAGAATCTACTCCCCACCTTACTTAGCTCAGTTCTTTACCAGAGAATGTCACTGACTTCTAATGTGTCCTTCTAGAGATAGCCAATGAAGATAAAGACACATAATTTTACTGGATTTTTTTTATTAAAAAAAATCTCTTTGGACCAGACGTATAAATTTGGGTGTTAAATAGAGTACGAGAACACTATTAGAGCCCTGTAATGCTACCATGTGCATGAGAAGGTTACTCAACCAGGGGGTCAGGGGATTTTCACAAATGTAAGCTGAACATTCAGATGGCCTGTAGCAACGCACCAGGTAGTGAGTAAAACTGGGCTGGAAATCGGAAGACTTTGGTTCCAGTGCTTCCAACTCTGCCTTTAATTAGCTGTGTAATTTTAGGTAAGATCCATAAACTTGATGGGCCCCAGTTATTATTAGTCAGATTGGATAAAATAGTAGAATGTTAGGAAAGATCTTAGAATATGGAAGTTAGAGAGAGCTGATGGAGGTATACTGAGGAAAGCTAGGTTGCTGTTTTCAGTCTGGGCAGTATCTTGGTGGGAAGCTCATAGTCTGGGCCATGCTAACCTATCTGAGGAATACAGTACACTCCCATCAATGACAGTGGCTTACTCTGATAGAGATGGTCAGTCAGTGATTTTGAACAACTTTATTGGGATGTGATTCACATACTATAAATATATACCCAGTTAAAGATGAAAAGGTTTATCCATGTTTTAGCCTACATTAGTACTTCATTCCTTTTTATTGTTGAATAACATTCGATTTTGTGCATATACCACTTTTTGTTTATCCAATCATTAGTTGATGGACATTTGGGTTGTTTCCACATTTTGGCTATTATAAATAATGCCACTCTGAACATTCGTGTACTAGTTTTTGTGTAGAGTTGTTTTGATTTCTCTTGGATAATATATTAAAGTATAGGTATACCAAGGTATACCTAATATATCTTGGGTAATAGGACTGGAATTGCTGAGTCATATGGTTAACTCCATGTTTAACATTTTAAGTAACTGCCAGACTGTTTTCCAAAGTCACTGAACCATTTACATTCCCATCAGCAATGTATGAGGCTTCCTGTTTCTCCACATCCTTGTTGCCTATCTTTACTTATAGTCATTTTAGTGGGCATGAAGTGATCTTATTATAGTCTTGATTTGCATTTCCTTGATGACTGATGATGTTGAGCATTTTTTAAGTATTTAGTGGCCAATTTGTATATCCTATGGAGAAATGTCCATCTAGATCCTTTACCTATTTTTTAAAATTGGGTTATTGCCTTTTTGTTGTTGAGTTGTAAGAGTTCTTTATATAGTTTAGACCCAAGTTCCTTATCAGAAATATTATTTGTAAATATTTTCTTCAGATTTTATGGGTTGTCTTTTTACTTCTTGATGGTGTCATTTTCAACACAAAAGGTTTAATTTATCTATTTTTTCTCTTGTGATTTGCACTTTTTGGTGTCATATCTAGGAAACCATTGTCTGTCCACCCAAGGTTGCAAAGACTTGCTACTACGTTTTTTTCCTAAGAGTTTTACACTTTCTTTGATCTGCTTTGAGCTAATTTTTATATGTAGTGTGAGATGGGGGTCCAGCTTCATTCTTTTGCATGTGGATATCCAGTTATCCCACTACCATTTATTGAAAAGCTGTTCTTTCCCATGGAGTATATTTTGCTTTTATTTTTAATAATTTCACTAGAGCGCATATTTTCAGGATATGTGGACACCTTAGCTGGCTACAGAATATAAAGATTTTCAGAGTCTTCCAGTGATGCTACTCAGACATGGATGCATCTTAGGCAGAGAACATTTATGCCATCTTGTGGACAATGATTAAAGTACAACATAGTCCCTTTAGGTCAGGTTGCCCATCTATTTGTACATATACCCTTCTAAGAGAGGTAGTCATCAGTGCATTGAATTAGAATTTTAATAAGTCTGATATAAAGCTTTTAGTTTTATTTTACTGTGATTTCACTTTATGTGCCAGGGAGGTTAGTTATTTTTCAGCCAAACTGATAGATCTCAGGCAACCATTCTGACCTTGTTGCTTGTACCTTGTGGTCAGCTAGTCTATTGCAGGAGTTTCATAATGTAACCAGCCCATCATCTCTAGGGAGTCCTTGGAAAATTGAGAATCAGTGAAGTTATTATCATTAATTTGAGGCTTGCCCGAGTTTTATTATTATTATTTTTTGGATTAAGCCCTTTGATAGAAATTATATCCTCTCTGTTTTTAACCTCCTTTGTTTTCTCATTTATTTTGGCATCACCATTCATTTATATTGCCCTCAGGGAATGATAGTAGGGCATACCACCAGATTTAATTTCCAAGGTAATTGGGAAATTTAAAGGTTCAGTTTACGTGACATTTAAAGTACTGAAGTCAACCTATCTTACTTGAATAGAGGGCATTGAACAGTCACCTTTGGTCTCTTCCTGACTCCTCCGACCTCCCTCTAAGTTTGTAAGGAGTTCTTTGTTTATGCAGCCTCCTTTAAAGCACTCTTAGCTTTTTAGGAAAAGTGGAACATAAATGAAATATGCTTTGACATTGTTACTTGAAACTCAATTAGCACCTCTCCTCCCCCATCCAAACTATGTGAGGATGATTAAAATGCTAAATCAGGTGACAGCTTCCACCAAATGGCAGTTTTCCCATGCATAATATTGACCTTAAACAATAGCCAGATATTTCTCCAGCAAAATGGGTTTATTTAGGAACAAAGAATTGCAGTTCAGGTCATGTAGTCTAATGGCGAATGTCCTGCAAGTCCAGAGAAACAAAGGAGAGGACCACTCTATTTTGAACTTGGGAGAGACTGTTGTAAAAAAAGAGTCCATTGGAAAACACTGAAATTTCAAAGTATAATGACTTTTCTTTGGCTGAGTTATGGCGGTCTCCCATTGGCTGACCTGTTCCTGGGCAAGGAGGAATCTTCTTTTTCTTTTTTTTACAGTAGTATCTCTACCTGTCAGAGATGCAAGGTGTGTCTCTTCCTGTTGGGGTCAGTAGTGTGTTGAGTGGCCATGGAGAAGCCTTACATAGTTTCTTGTGCTCAAAGAGAGTAAGCTCACCCAGTAAAAAGAATACTCTTGTCTGGCAGTTTCAACAATTCTCTTTCTTGGACAGGTTGGATAAACCCTGCCAAAATCTAGCTCTTGGTTCCCCTTTTCTAGACCACAGGCAGAATACTCCTTTTCTGTACAACATTTTTTCTTTATATACGTTAATAAAGTAGACTAGCTGTAGCTTGTGTTTTTGTTTCAGCAATTGTTTCACAGTTGTGAGAGTATATGAAACTAAATAGTTGTGGACACATGGATAAGATGTGGCAGTGTATCATGTCTTTATATTTGATATTTACCATCTCTTCATGCAAGTTACTTCTTATCCATTATACCAGACCTCTTAGTTGCTAGTAAGCTCTGTGGGGAGGACTTCATTATAGTCTCCTTTGTATTTAGTGGTCCTGGTATATTAAGGTCCAACTATTCATATTCATGAATATCAAAAGAATCTCAAAAACCCCAATTATTCCTTCCCAACTTGCTCTAAGTTCTCAATCCATTCTTGACATTATGTCCATTTTTGGCACATTATCTTAGTTCCCCATTCTTTTTCCTTATACAATAAATCCTCATTTAATGTCATTGATAGGTTCTATGATTTTAAGCAAAACATTGTATAATGAAACCAGTTTTACCATAGGCTAATCGATATAAACAAGAGCAAAGTTCCTACACATCCCATCAACGTTATAACAAAATGACATTGTTCAAGGACCTGCTGTAAACAAGGTTGGGTGAAAAAGAATAGTTGTTTCTTCTGTGGCTTCTGAATCTATCTGCATGCTTTCATCAGCCCAGTTAAGGAAAAGTACACTGTCGATAGTATTGCCTCTTAGAGTACCTTCTTATCAGTGGCACTTTTTAAAAGTAATATTAATGAAAAAAAGTAAATAGATAGCTTTTTGCCCAAAACACAATAAAGTAGGTTTTAATATCTTTGCTTTTAAATCATAGCTTAATTTTTTAGCTGAGGACTTGGTACTTTCCTATTCTGAGATATCCCAGATCCACAATAATTTATTATAAGCTCTTATTTGCCAAAGCTTAAAAATAGTACATGTGCTAGTACCTTCCTTTCTATCTTGTTGGACTTCTCATGCTTTTTTTCTGACTTTTCTTGGTACTATATTACCTTGCTTTTAGTCATAGAGTTGATTGCATTCTATTTGTAATGTTCCAGTTGCTATTTTTTTTCCCTTTTTACTTTGGTCTTAATTTGTTTGATTTATGAATATGTAAAAATGATCAAGAAAGCAAAATTAATTGCTCTTGCTAATTAAAACATGAAAATAATTGAGGTTAACAGGATAATAAGTTATTATTTTCTTTCAATTACAAAAATGAGAAAAATTTAGAAAACTAGAAAAAGGAAAATAATTGCCTATATTCTACCACCCAAAGAATATATTTCCTTTTGTTCCTTTATCTTTTTTCCTATGCATATGCGTTTTTATAGTTTAAACTTGCTATCATGCATTGACAATAATATGATAATTACTATGCATATTTTAAATAGACTTGGATCAAGGTCTCAGCCTGGCTAGGAATGCATTTGTATCATTTAAAATATATACTTATAGCTGTTCAGTAAATATTTATTAAGTGAAATGAATGAATCCTTGCCCCTCTTTGTGCCATAATTTTCTTGCTCAAGTGGGAAAATTAATTTACAAGAGGTTTTGTGAGGATCAGTGAAACACTGTAACTGTTCGAAGTAGCTAGGTCTTATCATAATTCTGGCAATAATATCATAACATTTTCCTAGAGAGCACTGCTGGAGAAGAAGCAGAGAAAAAAGCGCCTCGAGCCACTCATGGTACAGCCAAATCCAGAAGCCAGGCCACGTCGGTCAAAGCCAAGAGGTAGTGAGGAGCAGACTCCTTTGGTGGAACCTCATACCCCTAACAACAATGTCATCCTGCATGGTGTGTATTTAGGCAGCATGTCTTACTGCTGGGGTACAGTTTTTACAAAACTAGGAGCAGGCAGGAGGATTCTTAGATGGACCAAAGAAACGATATTAGTTAGCATCATTACTAGGGTACCTTCATAAATTTTTATAATCAAATTCTGGGTCTTCAAGTTGAATAAAAGCAATGGTCTGATCAGTAGAAGATACTTTAAAGTTTATGTCCATCTTAGAACTGTTATTTTAGATGCCAAATGAATAATTAGTCCAGAATAGCCTATTTGAGAAACTTATATCCTTGATTGTTAGAGTTAACCTTGAAGCCAGGAGTAGGTAGAGAGTATCTGTTCTTGCAGTAGATAAGGACCCAAAGGATCATCTGAGATGATGAGAGGAAGAAGGAAGAGTAGGATCAAGAGCCTCTAAGTCAAGCCCCCTGAGCTATTACCTTGGACAGGATTTGAACTTTGGAGGACCTACTTTGTTTTCATAGTTTCATTCTTAAGTTTCTAAAGACAACATCAAGTACATTTTCTTTTAATAAGAGTCAGAACATATTACTAAAATGAGCACCAGTCCTGGATTACTCTGTTAATGAATGTCTTCATGGTTGTTAAGGAAAGACAAGTGAAATGGTTTGGTGGTTCTTAATTCTGATCACGTACACCAAACCCTCGCAGCCAAATAGTGGATTATACTTTTTTTTTTTCTTTTCTTTTGGCCCCCAGGCATTGATGGTCCAGCTGCTTTCCTGAAACCAGATGCTCAAGATTCAGAGACCAAACTTCACGTTCTCTCAGTTGGCTCTTCTGCTACGGAAGAGGATACTGAAGGGAGTGTTGATGGGGAATGCACTTCGGATGTGGCTCCCAAGCCAGATCTTCAGGAGATTCTCCAAAAACACGGTGAGGATTCGTCATGGTTTTGAGGCAATTAATCATCTTAGTCATTTACAATCTTTTCCTCTACTTTCTTTCATTGTTGGCCGACAATCTAGGTGACTCACAGTTGCTTGTAATGTGGCTTAGGGCTTTACAGAGGTGACAGTATTAGGCATCTTTGACATCTGAGAATTGGTCATGGTCAACAATGGTAGTATTTATCATATTGCCTGAGAAAAATAAGATAATTAAATCAAATGTAAAATAGCATTAGCTACTATATATACGACTCTTTCTTTTTGATATTTTGTTTTTAGTTCCTACCCTTTTCCTTTGACAAGATTGCCACTCAACACCCCTATTCAGCCTCCATTTCACAGATTATATTGACCTAGTGATAAGGGGAATGATGAATAGCTAGCTTAATGGAAACACAAATTGGATCAAAATATACTTAAGTTAATACTTTTTCCACTAGAGCCTACTTTCTGCCAGTTGGAATTACCATTTCCATAAATATTACCATATATATCAGAGGTTCCCGTTAGTCTTTTTTCCTTCTTAGAAAAATTATAGGAGAAGGAATTAAGTGTTCCTTTTTCAGATGAGAAGACTGAAGCCCAATAATAAATAAATATTTATTGGGTGCCTACTTTCTAATAGGCATTGCTAGGTCCTAGGCTATATGAATCAGAAGATTGTACCACAAAATGGTAGAATAGATGTACATTCAAACAAACTAATATATTCATTCATTTAGAAAGTATGTATTGAGTATATACTGTATGTCAGGCATTGTTCTAGGCACTTAGGATACCATAGTAAACAAGGTCCCTTCTCTTGTGGAGCCTTTTTCTGTTTGAGGCTTCATATCCTTAATTGCGAAGAGACCATGGAGAGAGGGATGTCTAACCCAGAGCTGAAGGTTTGAAAAGCTTTCCAGAGAAAGCGATGTCTAAGCTAGAGTCTGATGCAGGAAGAGGAGCTGGCCAATTCAGAATGGCTGGAGCTGAGGGGATGACGTGATAAGATTTGGAAGGGGAATGTAGAGAGTTGAGCCTGGAGAGGTAAGTGGGCTCTGATTATATAGGACATTATAGGCCATGTTAGGAATTTGGACTTTATCTGAAGAGTAATAGGAACTGATGAGGATTTTAAGCTGAGAAATGATATCATCAGATTTGGGCTGTAGAAAAATTACTCTGCACCATAAGGAATGAATTGGAGGTGGGGCAAGTCTGGAAGCAGGAAAACAAATTAGGATGTGGTTTGGCTGATGGCTTGTCCTAGAGTTCTAATATGGTGTATGCAAGAGTAAAAAACAAATATAATTACACTGAGAGGGCAATGAAAAGGGACAAGAAAGGCATCAAAATGAGGTGGTGATTAAGCTGAGCCTTGAGGGATGCATGTCCTGTGCACTGGTGTCTCCTGTGGAAGCAACTCGAGACTGACATTTTAAATATCAGGCATTTGTATGTTAGGCATTTGGTATACATTATTTCAATTAATTTAATATTTATAACAGTACTTTGAGGGGGTTATACATATTCATTTTTTCCATTTTACATATAAGACAATTAGTTCTCAGAGAGAGGCTAAGTAAGTTGCCCTAGATCATACTGCCAGTTAGTTGGCAAACTTGGGCAGAAGAAATAACATGTGCAAAGGCATCAGGTATAAAAAACATGGTATGTTTGTGCAAACAGGGACAGATGACTAGAGTATGGGATATGGCAAAGGCAGCATAGCTCTGGAGCCAGTTTGCTCGGTTTCGAATCTCAACTCTGCCACATCTGGCTGGTGCCACATCTGGCTGGGAAAGGAAAAACACCTTAACTTTTCTGCATTGGTTTCCCCATCAGTAATAAGAACGTGATCCTAGTAATTCTCTATTACTTTACTACCACTATTATTACAACAAAAGAAAGAGTAAAGTGAACTTTTAGTATAACTGAAAGCTAACTTACTTACCCTCAGTCATCTAGCTGAACAATAGCAGTCCTAGATTTTCTGATTCTTAGTCTAGTTCTTTATTCCTTATTGTAAATACCATGGTGTCCCCTTTTACCTTGCCCTACTAAGTGACTGCTGTGTTCTTTCTCAGAATTAGCCTTTCAGTGCCAGATGCATTAATGTCTTTCATGTTTCAAACAGGTTGCATCGTGACCACAAAACCCATTAAGTGCTCTCTCAATTAAGATTTAAGAAATGTCAGTTTGGCAGGTTATGCCCCTTCAGTGGGTCCAGTTTACACATTTGGGAGAAATCTTTGATCTCCATCGTAAGACATATACTCACATAAACTGAGTTCTTAGTATAAAAATAACATTTGAAAACTTAGTATTAAGTGAAAGGATCCATATGACAGTGGGATCCCTGATGAATAAATAAATAATTTTATGCCTTTTTGCTACCAAAAAAGTTAATATTTTAGAAAACAAAAGAGAAAATATCCTTTACAAACCAAAGAATTTTTTATAATAGCTTTATTGAGATTAATTCATATACCATACGATTCACCCATTTAAAATGAACAGTTCATTGGTGTTTAGTATATCTGCAGAGGTTTGCAACCATCATCACAATCAGTTTTAGAACATTTTCATGACCCCCCCAAAAGAAACCTCATACCTATTAGTAATCACTTCCCATTTCTCTCTACCACCACCCCTCCTATTCCTGATATTTCATGTAAATAGAATCATACTCTATGTGTCCCAGTATGACTGGCTTCTTTCATTTAGCATAATGTTTTCAAGGTTCATCCATGTTGTAACTTGTATCAGTACTCATTCCTTTTATTGTTGAATAACATTACATTGTATGGATATACCATATTTTACCTCTTCATCAGCTGATAGACATTTGTGTTGTTTTGACTTCTGGCTACTATGAGTAATGTTGCCGTGAACATTCATGTATAAGTTATTGGGTGGAAATATGTTTTCACTTAGACCTTCTGATTGGCCTCTGTCTTGTCCTTGGGTGTCTTTGAGAAAAGCTAACACCAATTTATTTGTTAACTGTAAAAACAGATCATAGTTTTCCCTCCTCTGAGATGGTGAATGTGGGCAGGAAATGGTTTGGAGGGAAAAAACCACACTGCTTGTTGTTAAGTCTACTTATAAATTCATGATTTGGGAGCTGTTTCAACTATTATATGAAAGATAACGTCACCCTGTAGACTAAGGAAAAAAAAGGAATTGAGTTTCTGTCTTAGCTCTACCTCTTTCTCTTGGGTTCTTGGATTTTCCCTGAGCCTCCTGCTCTCACATGTAAGCATTAAGTCCCATACATTTTTTTTATAACACATATCGCACTTTATTTTATCTCTGTGTTTCTCTCCAGATATGTTCTGTAAACAAATAAGAAACAAAACAAAAAATAAGACTACCAATATCTCAAACTCATATAAATATGACGACAAAATGAAAAAATCATTTTTAATCAAATAGTTTTTAATTTTCTGTCAGAGGTGCTTCATAAATCTAAGGTAGTACTATTTCAGACATTCCCAACTTGAATTAGTTAGACTCGAAATGAATGAAATGCAGGGGGAAAAAAAGGTGTCTGATACAGAGAACAATGGATCACTGAATTTTTTATTGTGGTAAGAATACATAACAAAATTCACCATTTTAACCACTTTTAAGTATGCAGTTCTGTAGCATTAAGTACATTCACATTATGCAATTATCACCACTACTCATCTTCAGAACTTTTTCATCATCCTAAAATAAAAATCTATACCCATAAACAATAACTCCCCATTCTCCTCCTCAGCCCCTGATAATCACCGTTCTACTTTCTGTCTCTATGAACTTGACTATTCTAGGTACCTCATGTAAATAGAATCATACAGTAGTATTTGCCCTTTTGTGTCTGGCTTGTTTTACTTAGCATAATGTCTTCACTATTCATCCATGTTGTGGCATGTGCCAGAATTTGATTCCTTTTCAAGGCTGAATAATATTCCATGTATGTATACACCACAATTTATTTATTCATCAGGTGATGGATATTTGGGTTGTTTCCACCTTTCAAATATTGTGAATAATGCTGCTATGGAAATTGGTATACTAATATTTAGGTACACGAGATACCTAGAATAGTATATGAAGAAAGAATTGTCAAAATTAAAATTTAGATAAAGTAGCTGGGTTTTAAGTCAGAATAGCTTGGAATGTTTTAAGCAAAAAAAATTCTCTTTGGTTCAAAGATTTCTTTTTTAAAATCAGTTTTGTTGACAATTCTTCTTTTTCTGCCAGGTATCTCAGGTAGTTTGAACTTCGATGAGGAGGAGACTGATGAGGAGGAGGAAGAAGGAAAAAAATTGAGATCTCATTCACCATATTCAGAGGCAGAGAGACCCAATTCTGCACCCAGCCAGAAATCAACCACAGTATGTAGTTCTGAAACTTCTTTCTTTGGACTTAATTTAACTATTTCCCAAATATATCTTCAATATTTAAATAGCATTACTAAATGAGGGTTGCTTCAAAAGACTCAAACTCAGATTTAGACTTAAAGTTTATGACCTCTAATTTCTTGTGTCTAGCCAGCTATTATGAAGGTATATCCCATTTTCACACTTGACTCCTTCATTACTCTCAATATTCATACTTACTTAACTTCTCAGAGTTTCCCCTTTTGTCAAAAGACTGAAGACATAGGGGTAAATCAGTAAGTTATTTTAACCATTAAGTGTTTCTCAAAGAGAGTACAAAGTTTTCTGACCCCACTTTCTCTTGCTTATGTATGGCTATTCTTTCAGGAGACGGGAGCTTCCGGTACTACTGCCCAACAAACCGATAACCAGCTGGGAGAAGTAGAGAATTTAGAGGACTTTGCTTATAGTCCTGCCCCTCGAGGTATCACAGTAAAGTGTCGGATAACCAGGGATAAAAAAGGAATGGATCGGGGTCTCTTCCCCACTTACTATATGCACTTGGAAAAGGATGAAAATCGGAAGGTATGAGAATTGATTCTTAAGACAAATCTTGAGAGTGAGTAGGGAAGGACGTTGTGGGAATAGATTGTTGATAAGTCTTGTGATAGGGCAATAGCACTGGTATTAGACCAAGTTGGCTGAAAGTAGGTTCTTTTTATTAATTGCGAGGTGCTGTGTTTTCACTATCTTCCAAGAGCTCATAGTCTAATAGGTAAAATCTGCCACCACCCCAAAGAAAAAGAATTTTATCCAGAATGTAAGAAAATGGAAGAGAATATATGTAATTATTTTCATCTTCATTCCTTTTTGGGGATGGGGGGGGTGTTACTGTGTGTTCTTTGGTTTTTATTTTTATTATAGTAGAATAAAACATATTGGAAGAAAGATCAAGTTTTAGGGAATAGGATGAGTTGGAAATATATGAAGAACATACAAGCGAAATATCTGGTTTCTCACTCTAGAAATTCCAATTTACTTTGTACATAGATTTGAGACAATTTAATACTTGCTGATGAACAATGTATTTTGTATTAATACCAGGTCTAAGAGGATGATTTTAAGAGCATAGAAATGAGGTGATAATAGTAGATATCATTGTTATTATAACCACTATTTATTGAGTGTTTACAATGTACCAGGCATGTGCTAAATGCTTTATATATATTATGACTTATAATCCTTATGTCACATTGTAAGAGAGGATTTATATTCCTGATTGATGGACAGGATAACTGGGGCTTAGGGAGTGTAGTAAATGGCAGAGCCAGATTCAAACCCATATCCGTTTGATTCCAAAGTCCCCCTTACCTACTATCACTCTTCTGCTTCCCTATTATTGTCCAGGTCCAGTAGGGCTTAGGAAGGACGCATGAATATGAGGGTATTCCTACCACTGGAGGCACAGAGGTGACTAAAACAACAAAATACAAAAACAAAACCCCCAAGAAAACACAGAAAGGAATATTAGGAATGCAGTTGCAGGAAAGCGTGGTAAGGCTCGGTGTGCAAGATCCCCTCAGTCCTAAAGCTGGAAAGACTCTTATTCATGGAATTAGATGAAGCTTTTTTAAAAAGTCATTGGAAGTTTTAGGGATAAAGTTGTAAATAATTATCTAGAGAAACAAGCTAGTGAATTTAGAAAAGTTGTACAGTAGGGAATTCTGAGATAGTGAATTCTGAGAAGCATTATGAGGGTTAGGAAAAAGGATAAAGACCCACAGATTGGTTTGCTCTGAGAAAACACCAAATGGCAGATGACACCAGTGCTGCAATAGGGCAAGCCGCTGGGGACCCTGGACTGGGAGGCCTTGGTAGTTTCTGTCTGGGGTGGGGGTTGAGGACACAGAGCTCGTGGAGGCAAGGCCAAAGACAAGGAGTCGATGTCCCTCATCAAGCTGGGTTGCCTGGCCAGACATGATCAAGTCCCTGAAGGAGATTCTTTTGCTTGTCCGTCAAGGAATCTGGGATTATTGATTTTTTTTTCATGGGGACACCCCTCAAGGATGAGGTGTTTGAAGATGATGTCCACATAAAAGCAGGCTCATGCTAGCCAGCAGACCAGGTTCACGGCATTTGTCACCACTGGGAGTTATAATGGACATGTTGGTCTGGGTGTTAAATGCTCCAAGGAGGTAGCATTCACTGCCATTCGTAAGGCTATCATGCTGGCCAAGTTCTCCATAGTCCTCATGCAGTGAGGCTACTAGGGGAACAAGATCAGCAAACCTCACTTTGCCCCTTGCAAGGTGACTGGCCAGTGTGGCTCTGTGATGGTGGCTTCAGCCTTGCCACCAGAGGCACTGGCATTGTCTCAGCTCCTGGGCTTAAGAAGCTGCTGCTGATGGACAGCATCAAGGACTGCTATACCTTGGGCAGGAGCTGCACTACTACCCTGGGCAACTTCGCCAAAGTCACCTTTGATGCCATCTCCAAGACCTACTGGTGCCTCACCCTTAACTTCTGGAAAGAGACAGTGCTCACCAAGTCTCCTTATCAGGAGTTCATTGACCATTTTGTAAAGACCCCCTGTCTGTGTAGAGCAGGGGTTCCCAACCCCCAGGCTGCAGACTGGTAACAGTCTGTGGCCTGTTAGGAATTGGGCTGCAGAGCAGGAGGTGAGTGGTGGGTGAGCAAGCGAAGCTTCATCTGTATTTACAGCTGCTCCCCAGCGCTAGCATCACTGCCTCAGCTCCACTTCAGATCATCAGGCATTAGAGTCTCATAGGAGCACTGGTCCCTGGTGCCAAAAAGGTTGGAGACTGCTGGGTAGAGGACCTAGGTTCCAGCTGTGGCCACCACATAGTTTTACACAAGAAAAATTTAAGTACATTAAGCCTGTTTAAACAAAACAAAACAAAACAAAACAAAACAGATTTGACTGTTTGGTACGTGGTAGACACTTGCTAAACATTTGCTGAGTGAATAAGAACAAACCGTGGTGTCTCTTTACTTCATATTTGACTGACATTTTTTTCTTTTTCTAGATATTTCTTCTTGCAGGTAGAAAGCGGAAAAAGAGCAAAACATCCAACTACCTTATCTCTACTGATCCAACAGATTTATCTCGCGAAGGGGAAAGTTATATTGGCAAACTCAGGTGAGAGGAGCCTTGTATCACTGTCCTCTTCTTTCCGATACTTTTGTTCCTGTTGTAAAAAATAATATAAATGGAGCCACTTTAAAAATAGAGTTGGAGCTGCCATCCCAGCGGAACTGCCTTACACATTTTATGCCTCAAACCACTGGAATGTTAAAACAGGGCAAAATAACCTTTGGACTGAGCCTAAAGCAACATTGTGTCCTTAAGAACTGTTTGAAAAGATAACAAGAAAGCAGATATGACTACTAGACTGATGGCTACCTGACTAAAAATTAAAAATGTGGTTGAGTTAGTGTCACTGTGTTTGCTTTACTGCACCCATAAAAATGTCTGAATTCTATTGATGTTATTGTTCCCCTTCCCTTTCTTACAAATACCCCTTGCCTTTGTCTCCTAATTGGATCACTGGGTTTCCACCTGAATCAGTGCTTCCCAAATAGCTATCTTTTTTTGATCTCAAATAAATGCTTGTTGCCGCTCACTTTGGCCTTTTATTTTTAGGTTAGCACTGTAGTTTCAGAATAAGCCATATCTTTTATATAATGAGCATGTACTGATACTGTAATTGAAAGAAAAAAAGTTAAAATCAAATCTAAGTTCTTTGTTTTAATGAGAGATCTTTGAAAAAGTGATAATAAACATTAAGACATTTGGAGAACAGGCAAATAGCCTTCCATTCTTGTTAAATACCTCTCCTAGATTGTGTTTGTGTAAAAGAAAAAATTTAGATAATTATAGCAACTTTTAAAATTCTAGATCCAACCTCATGGGGACCAAGTTTACAGTTTATGACCATGGTGTCAGCCCAGCCAAGGCCCAAGGTCTGGTAGAAAAGGTCTATACCCGGCAGGAGCTGGCAGCCGTCTGTTACGTAAGTGTCAACCACATAATGTATTCTCTTTCATCTCTCAGATGTCCTGCTGGCACTTCAAACTTAACATAACCAACACCGAGCTCATAACCTTCCCTCTTAAGCTTCTTTCTATTTCTGTGATTCTCCTTTTCTGTTGCTGGTATCATTTTCTTTGTATATTCAAGTTTTAATTGTTTATGAATTGCCAAATTCAGGTTTTTTTTAATGTGTTAATATGTCTTTCCTCATCTGCTCTTCTCTTTTTCTTTTTTTTTTTTCACGCCATAAGTTTATTTACAAACATATCTAGTATGTTGAGTTCAACAGTTTGATCCATTTTTCAAGGGGACTGCACCTCTTAAAATGCTCTTCACATCTGTTTCATGGATTAACTAAAACATCCTTATTTCTTAAGCAGCTATAAAGAAAAGTGCAGCAAATCCAGATCCAAAGTACAGAGTCATCATAGCTAGCAACTGCCATTTATTTTCCACTGAAAATGGCAAATTCTTCCCTGGGCCCTCCTCACAGTGGCTCCTACAGACCACTGAGGTTGTGAACCTCTGGATGCTCTGTCCCAACATGGCACTGTTGGAAGCCCTGCAGAAGGAGCAGGGGCCCAGAGCTGAGGAAATGGCGGTAGCACACCAAGTCCTCCTTTTTCTTAACCTTGTTCCCCTATGTGCAAGGACAGAAAGGCTGCTCGTCTCTTTTCTTAATGCCATTGTATTAACCCAGACCTTCATTATCTCTTACCCATTGGCCAAAGATTACAATAAATTAGAAACTAATCTCTTTTCCTATCTACTCCATTCTATACTGTTGCCAGATAAATCTTCCTAAAAAAGAACTCCAGTTAATCTTGTTCTCTTGCTTCAAATCTTTTATGACTGCCCATTGTGTACAAAATAAAGCCCTAACAATTTAGCCTTTCCTTTAAGACCTTTCTAGTGGCACCCTCCCTCTCTCGTTCCCATCATTGTAGCCACAGCAGCCCTCCTCTTATTCCTTTGCTCCACCATATGATCTTCCCTCACCTGAGAGCCTTCCTTTTTCTCCTCATTGCCCTTTGCCAAATCAACTAATGTCATCAAGAAGTCTTTCCTGACCACTAGATGTGGCTGACATTCCTTTGTATACATCCCCATGGCACCATGCGCTTCCTCCGGTAACTCATACTTAATATTGCTTCTTCAACACGAACCTTTTCTACCAGTTTATAAACTCTTATTCACTGCTGGATGCACACTAACATGGGGCCTGGCACATCGTAGGCATTCAAAGAGTTGTTGAGTAAAAGAAAGCAAGAAGGAATTAACCCAACTCACTTGTTGCTTGACCCTAAAGTCTCAACATTTTTTAAGTTGGAATTAATCTCATTATTTGATTCCCATGAGGTTTTTTTCTAAATGACTGAGAACCATTTGACTTAACATTTTATAATATATAGTATTTTTTCTCTTAGCTTCAGAATTAATGAAATATTTTAACTATGCATGACTGTTGTGTGTGCACATGGATGTGTGCATGTATATGAATACACACACAAACATATACCCACTTATTCAATGTGCTTATTTTATACATATATAATCTGCCTGGCTTGATAGACATTTTGGATTTTTACCTCCTGATACAGGCCCTATTTAATTTAAACTGTAAGTCTCATTTAGATCATAAAGTGCCATTCCCTCATTGGGAAATAAATATTTATTGATGATGACAAAATTGGACAGTTTTCTCACAGTTGTCTCAAAGTTCACTTAAGATTAAAGGGTAAGAATAAAGTTTCAAGCCAGTAGAATCTGTTTACTTCCCTGGTCTTGATTCTCTGTCCCTTTTTAACTACAGAAATAATAAAATAGCTTTTAGTACTCTTGGCATCATCAACATTTTACATGCCCAAGAAAGTCTTGTGTCAAGAATGTGGTCCCATTTTCCTTCCTGTTTCCAAGTTCTGTCTTATTTTCCTATCTCCCAGGAAACGAATGTACTTGGATTTAAAGGTCCTAGGAAAATGTCTGTGATCATTCCAGGGATGAATATGAATCATGAACGGATCCCATTTCGGCCACGAAATGTAAGTAAGAACATATTTAATCAGCAAAGGACTCTAAAAGACAAGAACACAATGAAGAAGAGGTCAACCCAGAAACTATCGGTTCTTCTAGAACCCCAAACTGGAGCACTGCCCATACTCTTCTTTAGGAGGGCCATCACTCCTAGAGAACCTCAGAATAGGTGCAGGTGCAGTGCAGCTGCTAATGTGGTTGGTTTGCAGTCATTTTGTGTGCAAAGAAACATGCTAGATAATCTGCAAGAATCAGAAAAACCTGGCTTAGTTTTTGGCTTTCTTTTATTCTGTTTTACCTTTTCTGAAATGGAGAAAATATTCCCCTGCTCTACCTTCTTCCTCACTGAGTTGAGAACAAATGAATTTTTATGGTTCTCAGGACAAAGTCATACACAAACACAAACATATGTATATATACACATACATACATACATACATTCAGGAACACAAACCTATATGTATATATACACATACATACATACATACATTCATTTTTTTTTTTTTTTTGAACAGGACCATGAGAGCTTGCTTTCAAAATGGCAAAACAAAACCATGGAGAACTTAATTGAGCTGCACAACAAGGCCCCAGTCTGGAATGATGACACTCAGTCCTACGTCCTGAACTTCCATGGCCGGGTCACTCAGGCATCTGTGAAGAACTTTCAGATAGTCCATGAAAATGACCGTAAGCCCACAGGAAGGGTCGGATGGGAATAGGAGGAAGGATGTTCTTACACACTGGGGAAGTGAGCATTTCTGATCATTGCTAGGAAGCTACATTCCGGGGAGACTTAAAGAAAGAAGTGATTTCTTTGCAAAGATAAAATAACAGTTTTACAGTAAAACTTCTGAACCCCTGTGTTGACAAGACAGTGTGAGAGATTTCTTCCTTTGGCCAGTGAGAGGAGTCTTAGGCGAGGCTGTTTGAGAAGCGAATGCAAATGCACCTCATTCAATAAAAGTTCCTTGGCACCTCTAGCCTTCGGAGCTTGTGCTGTTCCCAGCACACTACTCTTGACTTTTCTTTGCTCTTGCCCTTTTGTGCTCGCCAGGAGTAGTCTCCCATTCTCTGTAGTTAACAACTTTGCTCATGGTTAGCAGACATTTTTGTTAATGCCTCTTCCCATTCTTCTAAAAGTTTCCCATTTGAAAGAGACCTGCTGATTAACTGACCTATTTGGAGGATATTTTTTTCTGTATCTTAACAGACTTTTTCCCAGTAAAATCACATTATCTTCTAACATCCTATTTTCTTTCTGTTTCTAGCTGACTATATAGTCATGCAGTTTGGACGTGTGGCAGATGACGTGTTCACCCTGGACTATAATTACCCACTGTGTGCACTTCAGGCCTTTGCCATTGGGCTTTCTAGCTTTGACAGCAAGCTAGCGTGTGAATGAGACAGAAAGCATGCACAGAGCTCGGCTTTCTCACTACAGAGCTTTCAGGAGCAGATAGTTGCCTCCCTTGCTCTTGCCCCTGGACATGAAAGAAAAACAGTCTGCCCCTTTTGGAATGATTCCTGAATGTATGTATGTATGTATGTGTATATATACATATATGTTTGTGTATGTACATATATACGTACACACGTATATGTACAAACACACACATACCACTTTTCTGGGTTTCAGAGACCTGATCAAAGACTACAATTTAACATAGGTGAGAGATTATTCAAAGCATAGGGCGGTTCTTGTTCAGAGCACATTGGTGACTCCTGGGATTATTGCCTAACAGATTCTGTGCCTCAAGCGTCAGATTTCCTAAGCCTGGAAGCTTGCAGCTAGAATCAGGTTGTAACGATTAAATATTTGGGTCTGTTTTTTGAAGACCTTTTCAGAGAGGGTCAGTTCCCTAAATTGCCTTTAGTCTCCAGGGCTGCAAAGTTTTCCTGTAAATGGCCAGACAGTCTCTCTCATATCTACTCAGCTCTGTCCTTATAGTGCAAAGGCAGCCATAGCCAATTCATAATGAACAAGTGTGGCTGTGTGCCAGTGAAACTGTATTTACAGAGCCAGGCAGCAGGCCAGATTTGGCTTGGGGCTGTATTTGCTAACCTCTGCTTCAGGTATGCCTCTATAATCTCTGGACTTGGGCATCTTCCAAAATGGTCCTTTGGTCATGAGGTGAGTGGGAAATGGATATCTCTATGAAGCAACAGCCCTAACAGATTGGATCCAAAGAAATACTCAGCTGCATCCACTGTTATGTAGCATTACCTCATTTTGGTGACAGTGGTTTCTAGAGTATCATTTACCATCAGAACTGAGAACCCAAAGTTATCATTAGAGTTAATTTGTTGTCTGCATGGGGCTTAGAAGGTACTGATGTCACAGTCTCCCTCTTCCCTTTCTTTCCTCAGAGCAGATTGGCTGGCACCAATCTCAGTCAAAGTGGCTGTGGGCAAGTTTGTGGTCAATGATGAGAGGATTTTATACAATTGTTTCAATTTCAGTTTAGACTGAAAACATAAACTCAAGAGGTGACTTAGTCTAGTTAGTCTGAGAGTTATTTGACCATTGCCTTCATTTTCAACCCAAGAGTGCCTCCCACACTGTTTTACTATGAAGCTGTTAGTATAGAAGGACACACACACCTGTAGACCATATAAGAGGTCAGAGATCATTATATACTGAAACTTGTCATTATCAAGAGTTGGCAGCAGAGGCTTTGGTGAGAACCAGCCAGCTGACTCTTGAGCTCTGCAGACCTTGTTGGGCAGAGCTTTGGGCCTTTCTTCTTGACATAAATATTAGCTCCGGAAAGCCTGGTTCATTGGTACAGATCAAGCTCCTGTCACTTTTCCTTCACAGATCATGAATTTTGCTGTTGTCCAAATTATTAGCACCTCCCAACAAATCATGACTCTTACCAGTTTACCAGTCCCAGAATACATCTGAATCTTGAGAATCCAAGAACTTTGTGAGTTCTGCATTTGGCATTAATCAACTGCCAAGCCTTTGTGCACTGAGCTGTTTACCAGCACGGGGCAAGGAATCAGTGGCTGTTGCTCCATTATATTTCCCTTCTATGGACTTCCTTTTTGTCTCCTCTTCCAATGTTCCTTGATCCACATCAAATAGCAATGTGAAGGAAGGAGATCTGTGAGATGAAAAGGCCCTCACTCTTCCCCCACTGGCCAATCCTACCTGCTCTGCTTTAACCTGATTTGTTTCCATCTCAGGCATGTTTCCCATCAAGTGCCTCATTCATAGAAGTGCCCAAAGCCCTTCAGACCTCCGGCACCACCATCATGATGTACTGTCTAATAAGCTGCCCTCGTTGAAAGCAAAAAGCTGTTCACTTATCTCTGGTTGCAGTAGATGACAGCATCTGGGGAAGGGGAGCCTTGTGGGCCGACCAGATCTAAACTTGCTTCTTCCTGCTCACTCTGGCTCAGAGACGTATATATACCCCAGCTTCATGTACTTGCTGCTTGAGTGTGCAGGTGATTGGTTTTACATGAATCATATTTATATATTTTGTAAGCTACAGAAATAAAAATAATTTATATAAAAATGGAAGTGTCGGCATTCTTTGAAAAGTCCCTCAAATAGTTCCTACTGTCATTTTCTCTAATAAAAATTTACATCACTTGGCAACAGTGAACTAATCAGTTCTTTGAAGCCAAGAAAGTGTCACTATAAGCTTTCATCCCAGATTGAGCAAGAGCCTGAGAAGTCTGCATTCTGGAGACTGTCTGAACTCAACATACACATGTCACCAAGAGTTTTCTGGACAGATAACAGAGCCAAGAGCTGAGCTTAGAGGGGGCCACAGAAAGGTAGGATTTATCTTGTTCTGGATGCCTGCACTGGTCAGCCTTCTGGATCACCTTTGATGGTATTGTTTACTAACTCAGCCAAGAAACGAATATCTTATAATAAAATAAACCCCATCTCTTACCAGCAAGTATTCACATTTTAAAGCTACCTTATACGGACAAGTTGAAAAAAAGTATGTGTTCACAAGTCTTTACTAGGCTTTCCTACTCTTATCAGTGTCACAGTGATGAGTCACATTGAAAGAAGCAGGAAGAGCCTAAAAATCAGGATGAGAGAGATGGAGTCAGAGTTTAATTCTTACAGCTTGATTTTTCTCCTCACATGATTGTTTTTGGCTAAGATGCGCGGCTGGCCAAACAGGTAATTTGTGACACAGATTTATATACTTTTCAGTGACCAGGAATAATATCAACGGTCATTGACATGAAAGATATCAGCAAGTTACTTAATCTAAAATAGGTCTGCAAAATGCTCTTTTTGATCAGAAGTTTAGTAGATAATAAAGAAAATGAACTAGCATCAATTCACTTCCTTTATAAATAGCATTATAAGTGCAGAAATAAAGCACTGGTTCAACTGAGGCAAAATCCCCGGTTCTCGGCCCTTTTTCTGCCAGTGATTTGCCATGTGCCTTTTATCTATAGATGGAGAGGTTTCTTATTAACGTGCTCTTCAATTTTTGAAATGTCACTCCCCACTCATGCTGGCAACAAGCTGGAATTCCTGTAAATGTGTTTTGAATTGAGCTCTCTCGTTACCTTCTGGACCAAGTACATGTTCGTGGCTGAAGATACTGCTGGAAGGAGAATGTACAGACCTCAGGAAGAGACCATGGATGCTTGAGCTACAGAACTAGAAGGGAGATTTTGAATGTTTTGTTGGGAGATTCTGACATGGTGGGAGTGCACGATGTGGGAGAAATACGATCTTATGCTGAGGAAGTGCAGGACCTTGAAGCTGCTTTCTCCAGCCACTGAAGACATCTTGCTCTGCAGAGAAAACCTTGGGATGCTGCAAGCTGCTCTTCTCACCCTCCAGTTCTTGCTTGATAGAATGGTATCTGCCTGTGTACTCATGCCATATGTCTGATAGCTGCTTCCTTCCAGTCCATAGCTCTCTTTTAAACTTCCTCATGTGGACTCCAGCTGGGGGCTTGCCAAGGACTGTATCCCACCCCTCATTTCTTGACCTACTGCACGTTGGATTGTTTTGCCTCCTCTCCCCACTTTGGTCTCCTAGTTTTCATAGTCAATGTATATTCTTTAAAAGTTTCAGCCTTTGTTATCAACACATAACTCTTCTCTAATCCACAGAAACCTAAGCGTGTCACAGTAAATTCAGGATTTGCCATTGGTGCTGTCAAAACTTCAGGCAAGCTGTAATTATACCACAGATGGTTTCATGGCACCATCTATTGACCAAGGATGCACATTACAAATGCACTTAAAGGAATAGCAGATTCTGTAAAACATGAGAGTCACAAAGGGCTCAGGATGATTTTAACAACTGGACTGTGTAATATACCTACTAAACACCCTTGTGCTATGTCATGGCTCTTTTCTGAAGGTCTGAACACAGTAATATTTCTGGAGTTTAGAAATCAATTGAAGTATTCCAGGTAAAATGCCTGGGATCTGGTACATATTAAGCATTTGGTATAGGACAGTGGCAAATTTCAGTATTATCACTTTTATTAATGTTCTTTTAAAATAGAACAATGCACATCGGTTGACTTTTTAGTCTTGCAGTTACACAAAATGGTTTATAAATGCTAATAAAGCAATTTTAGATTGTTTTCCAGGGACTACGATGAAAGAAAAATATAATTTATCTGGATAACTAAACATCCGTGCTGTAGTCTCAGTCCTAATCCTACCTCACATCCCTTTGTACCCAACTCTCCATTTCTACTTGAAGAAACAACCTAGGCAAAAATAGTCCTGATGTTAATGGAAGTTTTTCAAATATGAAAAGGGCCTCCCTGATTTGTTCTGGCTCTGCCTAGTCTTTTGGTCCATCAGGCCCCAGCTCCTTTGCTCATTGCCTCCTGGCTGTGGCCGAGGAGCCAGAGTGCAAGAAAAGAGAGTGAACCACGTGGAGGGTAAAGCTGGGGGGCCAAGGCGGGAGTGGCAGAGGGAGTGCTCCTGGTTGGGTACCATCTTTTATTACACATTTTGGTTTAATATAGTGGTTCTCAAGCCTCAGGGTTTTAACACCTAATTTACTCTCTATCCAGATTCTGTCCACTATGGTTTTCAAGGATTCCAAGAGCGATAATCCAGTCATTTTCTTCTGTAGTCTGGGGGCAGGAAGGTTAGGAAGGAAGAGGTCTGAGAGGATAGGAGGGTGACTGGCAGAGGAAGGCTAGGAATTAGATCAAGATTTTAAAAATGTGGTCTAAATGTAATTTCTAGGGTACAATTGCATGCTCAAGAAAACTACATTATTGTAAGAATGAACTATGACCTTAAAAACGTCTTGATCATTCTTATGTTGCTCTGAATCACATATATAGATATAAATTTTAAATAGTAATAATTTCATATGGTTTAAGAATTTTTTGAAAACTATACAGTTAAAGCCTCCTTCCACATCTATCCTCTTTTGCGTTTCCCTTCCCCTGTCCTTAGTTAACCGCTTTTAGTTTCTTTCCAGTGTAGTTTTCCAGTATACTTATACAAAAATAAAAATGTATTTATAATTTCTCACCCTTTGTGAACAAAAGGTAGCATATTATGTACTCGGTTCAGTAGTTTGCTTTTCAGTTAATATCATCCTGAAGATATTCCCATGTCGGTAAGTGCAGTCTTTCCTCATACTCATGTTCCACAGTATTTTCTCGTGGGAAGTAGGTGTTTTTAGTCCCTGTACATGGACAATTTGCACATTCAGAAATTTTATCAACGTGTTTTGAGTTTATAGTGTCCTAGGGACCCGTGTTATTTATTTCCATCCTCCTCTTTTTCACCGTTCATACTCAGGAACTCCCACGACATGGCACCTTTTCACTTGATGTCTCCCACAGGCCCGAGTTCTTGCCTTAACTCAGCACGTGTTATCTAACTGCCTGCTGAATATCTCCATTTGGATGGTCCACAGCTGGTCCATGCCCCAGGCACCAGTCACATGTAGCTATTTAAATTTAAATGAGTTAAAATAAAATTCAATTCTTCAGTCAGACTAGCTGAATTCAAGTCTCAATGGCTACATGTGCCTAGTAACTACCATAGTGGACAGTGCAGGTAATGAACATTTTGTCACTGCAGAAAGTTCTGTTGGAGACTGTTGGTCCACGGAAACCTCAGCTTCACGTTTTCAAAGCTTAACTACTTACCAATTCTCTCATGCGGTAGTTGTTACTTGTCTAGTTCCCCCATTAGACTGTTAACTTGAAGGGCAGAGATTGTGACTTTGTTTATCCCTCATGCCTACCTAAGTACAGTGCTAAGGATCTCATACTCAATGAATATGGAATGAAAAACTGATGAGGAAACTAAGGTTCATAACATAAGGTTGTAATTAGTACATGGCCAAGCTGTTATTTGAACTGAGATTGTTTAACTCCCCTGTAAGGTCATAGGGCATGGCTTATGTTAACTTTCATTTTAAAAATATTGTATCAGGGTTTCTAGCTCTGGCCCTGGGCGCAGTAGCCGTCGCGATGTCAATGACCAAGAAGAACCAGATTGTCATTTATGAACTCCTTTTTAAAAAGAGAGTGATGGTAGTTAAGAAGGATGTCACATGCCTAAACACTCCAAGCTGGCAGACAAGAATGTGCCTAATCTTCACATCATGAAGGCCATGCAGTCTCTCAAATCACAAGCATTGTAAAGGAAGTTTTCCTGGTGACATTTCTGCTGGTACCGTAACAACAAGGGTATCCAGTATCTCCGTGATTACCTCCACCTGCCCCTTTGATTACCTCATGCCTGCTGCCACTTTGTGCTCCAGCTGGCCTGAGACTGGCAGGCCGAGGCCCAAAGGTCTGGAGGGTAAGCAACCTGTAGAACTCACAGGAGGGTAAGCTGACAGAGAAACCTACAGAGTGCTGTGTCCCCTGGTGTCAACAAGACGGCAGAGGCTGGGGCTGGGTCAGCGACTGATTTCCAGTTTAGAGGTGGATTTGGTCATGGACATGGCCAACCACCTAAGTAGAGTTGGAGAGATTATTCTGTGTTGAATAAACTTGTGGCCAGAAAATTAAAAAAATATATTGTATCAGGGTTAATGAAAATGAAAATTTTAACTGAAGTAATCCTTTCGTCCTGTAGGTGCCAGGCCCAGCTGGTCCAAGGTCCGGCTGTGATCCAGGCTCGCAGCTAAGAATAAGACCCTGGATTTAGAATGTTACATTAGTGTAGTAGGGCGCCTGCACCTAAAATATGTAAACATATTTCAGCTTATTGTGTCATGCATGTGTAGCTGAATGGCCAGTATTGTACTCTGATATGTGTGGAGCCATCCGAACCCCTGGAGAGCAGAAGAGGAGCACAAGAAGGGGAGCAGAAGTGCACGCACTACTGGGCTGCCCCCCCAATAGAACTGCGCTTCACGCAATAAAGTTGGTGCCTGCTGTTTCATTCTCATGTAGACCTTTTGTGCGTTCTTCTTACTGGGTGTCTCACCATCGAACCTTCCCTTCTCAATCAGCTCGGTGCTGACACCTCTATTATGATTTTTTTAAAAGGAAGATCCTAGATATCTGATCCTAAAGACCACCTTGGAACTACAGAGAAACTCTGAGAATCGTGTGGAGAAGGCTTCAACTGCTGCGCTCTGGAAACCGATAGTTCTGTTTCAGTCTGGAAATATATTGTATTAGTTTGCTAGGGCTGCCATAACAAAATACCACAGATCGGGTGGGTTAGACAGAAATTTATCTGCCTAGAAGTCCAGGATCAAGATGTTGGCAGCTTTGGTTTCTTCAGAGGCTTCTGTCATGGGCTTGTAGATGGCCCTCTTCTGGGTCAACTGGTCTTTGTGAGTTGTCTGTGTCCTAATCTCTTCTTAAAAGGATACCAGTCAGATTGGATTAGGGCTCACTCTAAAGATCTGATTTTTACTTAATCACTTCTTTAAAGACATTATCTCCAAATCTAGTCACAATCAAGGTACTGGGCATTAGGACTTAAACATATGAATTTGGGGGATGGGGGACAGAGATCAGCCTGTAGCTCCTCTTAGTGGACCTAGAGTCTCTTCTGTTTCACATTTATCTTTGATGAAGAGGCAGTAGAACTAATATTATGCTGATCAAATGACACACTTTTTATTCTATAGAGGAAAAAAAAGACTAAACAACTTTGATAAAAATCTGTTTTGTTCTTCAAAACACAAGATACAGTTCAGTTGTGATGGAGTGAAGAGTCTTAAGGAATAAAAGCAAATGGAAATATAGTCTGGAGAGGTAAAACAAGAAAAGGAAGCTGAGAGTTAGATGACCAGGGCCACAGTAGAGTTAGCACATCATACTTTTGGGGCGGGGGGTGGGGTATGCTTGAGGATTATCTCAAAAGCAGTAGATTTGCCTTTTACCTAAAAGCTAGGAAACAATCTTTCCTTGACTCTGTCCTAGTCAATTTATTAGGCTATTAAATTCAGTTGTGGGTGGGTTTTTTTCATAAGATGTGGAAATATTAGGGAAGGGTTAGATATACAGTACTAGTCACATTTTTTCCTCATTATAAAGGAAGTACAACTTTGTTATAGAAAATAAAAATGAGAAAATAAAGAAATCCTTTCAGGGGGATCACTCTGTAAATTATATAAACGCCTAACCACTATGGTGTACACCTGAAACTAATAATAAAATAATATTGAATGTCAACTGTAATAACGAACATTAACTATATGCAAAAGGCAAGATTTACAGAATTAAATATTTACAATATAAAAAAAAAGCCCCTTAATCTTCTACCTGCGTGGGAACATGGCATTCTTGAAGACATAGAGCTCTCTAGAAGCTTATTAGGGTATGGACCAAGAGGCTGAAATCCTGAAGTCACGCCATGCCAGCTGGAGTCGTTTATAATCTTGGATGGTTAAAACCTGGAAGGAATAAACCAATCTGATATCCAAATTTTCTCTCAGTAGTCCTTGCTGTAGCGACACTCAAAGGTTGTTCTGTCTCCACCCTGGACTCTGTCCTGCCTTCCTCTCAATCCTCTTAACCTGGTGGGACCCACCTTCCAACTCAACCTATTCCTCCTTTTGTTTGAACTCTGGACTATTTTCTAGACCTTTTCCCTCAGCCTCAACCCCAGGACCACTGCCTGAGTTTAGGGCACCTGATTCTCCAATCCAGCCCCAACACTGTTGCCAGAGAGGTCTTTCTGATGCTGGTACTGATTATGTCATACCTGTGTCTAAAGGGCCTTTCTGACACCCAAACTCCTCAGCACAGGATCCAATGATCTTCAGATTCTGGCACCCACTACTTATTGTAAACTATTCTCCCCAGCTCCTATTCTCCAGCCACACCAGGTTACAAGACTTCTCCTAACCCCTTGTGTACAGGCTACCATAATTTTGTGGGTATTCTAGTCTTAATTTGGCAAACTCTCATTTATCCTTCAAGAGCTAGATCAAATGTCACCTCCATTAACTTGGATTTCATTGTTCCTTACCTTGGTTTCCCATTGAACTTTATATAATTCTCTCTCTCTTCCCATCTAGATTGTGAAATTCTTGAGCACAGGGCAGGGAGCTCAAAGTGAAGACACTGAACCAATGATTGTTACATTAAATAGCTAGTGCTTACAGTTTGTACTTCATTTGGTGCCTGTATACTGTCCTGTATTGCAATCTTTTCATGTGTATGAGGTGTGAGCAGGGCCTGGTGTGACTCATTATTTAACAAGTATACCAGAATTTATATATGCAAATGAGAGCTGGTGCCTTCAAAGCCTTCCTCTTATGGGACTGGATACTTCCTCCAGCGATGGTCATTACTCAAAACACCTTTGGAACATCTCTCTTGGAAACAACTTCGGCTTTTATAGCACTTTTTCCCCCAATATCCTCTGTGGTAGCATTTTTTTTTTTTTTCACTTTTTCAAATTTTTTTTTTTATGCACTTATCTATCCCAGGCACCATGCTGGTGCTGGGTGAAAGATAAGATAAATCAGACATTTACTCAGTCTTCAAGGAAGTTTCTGTTTGGTCAGGGAGATAAGATCTGGACATCCACTGCAATTCAAGGTTAAGTGATAATACTCCACAGAGGTTGGATTTGATTTTTGGAAAAAGACAAAAGTCCTTTGCTTTCAACCTCCCAACAAAGTGGATGACAAGAGATTTGTGAAAACACAGTGCTTTAAGCCAAGGTGTTCTGAAGACCACCAAATGGGATCCCATTGCATTCCCAGTACCTCTCTCCCCACAAGAGACTAAACTCTTCTGGTATGTGTTTGAAACCCAGACTCCCACTTTATGCCAATGCTCTTGCATGTACACAGTCTTCCCAGCTAAATGATAAGCTCTTTGAGGGTAGGTGCAGAGGTCATTTTCATCACTGTTTTCACAGCACCTGGTGGACACATATGTGCTCCATACTCACTGAGTTACTCTCATGTCAGACCATACTGACTTCACACCGAGTATCCTTTCCCTCGTTCGCTTTACCCTTTGTAGTGACAACTCTGCGGATCCGCAAAAGCTAGGAGGACTGAAGCACTAATAATGCTGGGGAGGGCACGCGAGGGGGCACTGGCAGAGGACCTGGGACTAGAGCCCTTAGTTCCTGCTTCCTGGTCCCCAGAAGTGAGTGTCCCTTGGTGGTAGCCACGCGGAGGGAGCAGCTCTTCCTGCGCGCCGGGCGCTCGCCCCTGTCCCGGCCTTTGGCAGACTTGTGCAAAGGGACGTCGGCTCGCAGCTGGGGACGCAGCGGGTGGCAGGGCACGAGGCCGGAGCTTGGTCCATCCACGGGACACCCCCGCCCCGGCTAAGGGGAAGGTTTTCAGCTCCTCGGAAAGAGAGTCGTAGACTCCGCCCGGAGGGCCAGGAACCGCGGACTTGGAGAGGAGGAAGAGTCGGGCCGAGGGATCAAAGGGAAAGTTCGTGTGCGGGGGAGCGGCTAAGGCCGGATCCAGAAACAGGTCAAAGTTGGGGGTCCGCGAGGCCCTGCCGCCAGCTCTGCGCCTCCGCCCCTCCCCCGCCCGGCTCCCTCCCCCGCCGGCTCCGCCCCGCCCCGCAGCCCTCTCTACCCCGCCCGCGTCCCAGTCTCCTCCCCGAGGGGCTGGTGGCGGGGCCGCCACTCCCTCCAGCTCCCTCCTTCAGCTGCGCGCATCTCATACCAGCCCTCATTCCGCACATTCCAAGCTCCCTCCTTTCAAACTCCAGGCTGGGGGTGGGAGGGCCCGCAGCTCCGGCTCCAGCGCCAGCCGCCTCGTCCGCCAGGTGAGTGCGGGCCCCGCCGCGCGCTCCAGCCGCGTGCTCCTCACTCCTTTCTTTCCGCCTCGCCCCTTCGCGCCTGGACGTCCCGGCTCTGGCTGCGCTGCGTCCTCCGTCCTCCGTCCCTCTCTCTTCCTCGCTCCGTCCGCGGCTTCCCGACCCCTCTCCGGCTTCCCACCGTCGCTCCACCCCGCAGCCGGCCCGTTTCCCCGGCTCCCTTCCTCTGGCCGTTGACTCACTGCTCCAGGAATAGGGATCTCCCGTGTTTTCCCGGCAGTCCCGTCCTGGGAAAACTCCTCCCTCCGCGCGCGCCGCGCCGCTCCACTCCACTCCGCTCCGCGCGCGCGGCCGGCTGGAGGCGAGCTGGGCTCCGGGGCGCGGGGTCGGCTCAGCCCCGCCCTCCTCCCCGCCCAGCGTGTGGGTCTTGGGGCGGGAGCCCAGTCTCTGCGCGCTGACCCCCTGTCGTCCCTGCAGAGCCTGCGCCCGCCGCCCGGGACCTCAGCGGAGCCGCGGCTTCAAGAATTGGCGGGCGGGCTCCGTGGAACTGGCTTAGCGCAGCCGCCCCACCTTCCCGCACCCTGGGACGGGTAAGGCTGCGGGGAGGGGAGGTGCCGGGAGGCGGTAGCACTTCGTCAGCTGGCAGGCATCGGGGACGCGTGAAGATTGACTAGACAGTGAGAGGGACACGTGGAGGCTGTGCGGACTTCAGGGTCGGGGTGGGATATGAGGCGCGTGGGGGGAAAGGGAGTCTGGGGAGCTGAAAGGACCAGAGGTAGAACTGAGAACCCCGACGATGGAAGAGACCCCGCACCCATGCCTCTTTGCTGCTGGACTTTTTTCGGGTTTGGAAGGCAGAGCCCTGGAGGAAGGTGTGTGGGTTGTTTTAAGTGCTGAGGCTCTTCGAGAGCGGTGGAGATCTGTATAAAAAGACCCAGCTCCCCAGGTGCTGAGAAGCCTGATGTGTCCAGGATGGGGACTAGTGGATCTAGGGAGCTGAACTCCCAAACCCCAAAGCGAACATTTTCCAGGACACACGCCCTCTGTGCACAGGTGTATAAAGGGGGTTCTGGTCAGATCGAGTGGGTGTCTAATGAGCTCATGTGATGGTAGTCTTGACTGTCCTGTGTCCTCAGCTTTGGGTGTATGTGAGGGTGGTATCTGTTCACATATGACTCACCTTGGCTTCCAGTAGGTGTATTTGTTTGTGTCGAACATGAGTGTATTTCCAGTTGAGAAAAATACTGTCTGAAAGTATGAGTGTCTGAGTCCTTGTGCAATGCCCCGTCTCTAAGTGTGTATTTTTCTGTGAGGATGTTGGTTCTGGGCATGACTATGCTTCCTCCCTGTAACGGTAGACCAGAGACAGTGCCTCTGGTTATATGTGTGCAGGGATAATTTGTAGTCCTGGGAGCCTGTGGCCCTCAGGCTCTGTTCACCCTGGACTGGGCAGAGCTGGAAGGAGCTGTCATTTTGAGGGAGAGTGGGTTCTGTTCTTGCCTGAAACTGTTTAGAGAATAAGCGGATAGAAGGCTAAAGGAAGTTGAGATCTTTGTCTTGTTGATGCGATGGGTTATTGATAGTTAAGAGTTGGGGATGATTGTGGGATTGGACCCCCCAGAAAGAGGAGACCATTTGAATCTTGAGACTTGTGTAGACAATATTTTTAAAGTTGTCCCCAAGGACAAAGAGGAATCAATGTATATCAACCTGAACTTTCTACTGGTCCAACTCTCCTTGGAGCTGTCAGGTAGTCAAATGGGTGACTTCATTCTTTATAATTTGCTAGACCATTCTGTTGTTTCCTTTGGCAAGGGGAATGACTGGTTCATTCTGTAAAGGCCACAGTACCAGCCTGGGAGGAAGGGCTGCCTCTGATTTGCTAGTTGACTGGTGGAGAGACCCTACTGGGTGTCTGTTTCCCTATCTCTTCCTTTCTGCTTTGGTTTCTGTTGTCTCTCCATTTGGGGTTTTACTATCCAAAACATTTTAGAGTGAACCGGATAGGGGAGAGAGCCACAATGTCTAGGATATCAATAGACGCAACATAGAATGTGGGGGTGGGAGTGGGGGAGCACAGGCAGACGTCAGAGCTTTGCATCCCACAACATGATGACCTGTGCATAGTGTTTAGGGCTTCTTGGAAGGAAGGAATAAGACACTCAGAGGGGTGGAGACTCTGGTCACTGCTCCTCCATGCACCCTGAGGATGCGGATGTTCTGGTGGGAGCCTCCTCACTCTCTCATCTCCTTGGGCCAGGTGTGCAGCTGGGGCTTCAAGGTGTCTGATCTAAAGGCTCTATTGATGGAATAGAAAGGGTACATATTTGGGGTCAGACATACCTGGGTACAAATCTGGACCATTACCGGACCTTTGAGGCTCTCAGGCTGTTTCCTGATGGGAGGTGGTTTAATTAATAGCTACTCAAAAAGTTTGTTGTGAAAATTTAATGTTTGCAAAATTTGAAAATTCAATTCAGTGCTTGACACATCCTGGGGACTCAATAGCCAGTGTCCCCAAGCATAGAACCTTTTATTTCCTGGGATTCCTTTGAACACCCTTTGATAAACCCTGCCCTGTTCATTCATGTTTATGTAGCAAACATGAATCCGACATTTACTGTAGGCTAGGGCCTGCACCATGTTCTTCTTCCTTAGGAACCAGGGTAGCTAGCAGCCCAGGTGAAGGTGGGGGCAGGGCTTTATCACAGGGGAGCACAGGGCCTCCAACTCCTATGTTCTAATTCCAGAGAAAACTTGCTAAACATTTGTTGGACACTCCAATTTCATCATCTAACTCCCTGATATTAAAAATGGGGAAACTGAGGCCCCTATAGGGCAGTAACTTTCTTAAGATTGCACAACTAGTGAGTTGCAGACCTGGGACTAGAATTCACTGTTTTTACTTCGCATTCTGTCTCCTGCTCTGTGGATCCCAAAGCTCAGACCCCTTAGCCACCTTCATCTAACATGGGGGAGGCTGGAACAGTTTGACCTGGGCGATGTCTGTCATCTTGTGGCTCAGATAAGGTTTTTAGGAGATAGAAATACTCCCCTTCGTTCCAGTAGAAAGTACAGAACTGTGGAATCTGAGAATGCCAACTTTGGAAGAGGCCCTCAAGAGGTCTTTAAAACGTACCCTCCTTTCTCCTAGCTTGTCTGATCATGACTCGGCCAGGTAGAGAAGGGTCTCTATCTTTCTGAGATCTCCTGGGATGCAGATGTTACAGCCTCCTGTGGCTTCTATTCTGGAGTGTTACGCTGCTGGCTGGCAGCTGTCACAGGGCAATCAATACCTGTTGCCTAACCTGTGGCTTCTCTCCTCTCCCGGTGGAGGTGGAGAACGTGGGTCGCACTTTGCTCCACTGCCTTTCCTGAGTTGAGGTCAGTCTGGGGGCAGTGGGAAATTCAGGACTTGTAAGGGTGGCTCTACCTTGCCTGTCTTCCTTTGCCCCCCATGACCCTTTGTTGGCAGGGTTTGGGATGATAGCTCCCTTTAAAGCTCTGAAATTGGAGCTGAACAGCTGCTCTCCAGTCCCCCTTCCCTCCCCCAGGGGTTTAACCGGCTCAGGGGCCCAGGTGGAGGTGGGGGCAGGGCTTTGTCCTCGGGCAGCACAGAGTCTCCACCTCCTGTGTTCTAATTCCAGCTTTGCCTTGACCTCTTCCGAAGTGACGGTTCGTCCCTTGTTTTTGGGTTTTCCATTTAGATAGTAGAGAGATTCTGATCACCTCCTGTGTCATATGGTCCTGGAACCTTTGGCTAGTAGCCACTGGGTCTTTGAGAACTTTTCTGCTAGAACTTCCGTCCCTAAGATCTGTGCCCACACCTCCTGCTTTTAATATTGGCAGGCTCCTGGAAAGGCAGGAGGATGGGCCTTGCTCCCTGTAGTGTGGGCCAGTTCCCTGGCTGGGTGCTGAGGGTAGGCGGGCCCCCATGGGTGGGGACTCAGCTTCCTTTGACCCAAACTTCATGGGAACAATAGACTTCAGAGGAGTCACCAGGGGCAGGAAATGGGAGCTGTGCAAAGGCAGGGTGACCCTTTGCGGGGGGATGGGATTGCATATCCGGCTGAAAGGAAGGGCAGGGTGTTGGGGGCAGTGCAAAGGGCACTGGGGAGGGGCCAATGACACATAGGGTGGGCCTCTCCTCTGAAGGGGGCTGTTGACTCACTGAAACCTGAGCTGCTTAGAACCCATTATTTGGCTGAGCATTCTGCTTTGTGTCTTACTAGCAAAGGCATCGAGTTTGCTGTTTGCCAGCCTCGGCTGGTGCCCAGCTCACCCCTGCCATAACCAGGTCTTCCGTCTTCCCTTCAGGCCCCCCGAGATGACAGTGTGAATCATCCCAAGTAGGATAAAAGGCTAGTTTTGTTTCTTCCTGGCTGATCTCCACCTTGGCGTTGAGCCTTGAGTAATAGTTGACTGGGGAGGTGATTTGTGCAGTGGGCAGAGCTCTGGGTGGAGCGACAACAGGCCTGGGTCAGCTGGATAACATAGAGGGATTTTTTTTTAGCCACAAGCAGAGCAAGTAGACACAGGACAGGCAGGGGGAGATTCCTGCTCGAAGCAGGTGGTGGAATGTTCTGGGAGGCAGAGCGCTCTTATCTCGCCTTCATCTCTGTGAGGGTAGAACAGACTTTACAAGAAGGCTAGGGAGGGGTTGGGAGATGTGAGAGCCAGACCACACCGAATTGCTTTTCTTGAGTGCAGGTTGCCACATTCTTACAGGTCGGGTTTTGGGGTCCTGAGAGAAGCTGCAGGAGTGACCACAGAATCACGCCAGGGTCTGGGAGGAGGTAAAGGTGGCAAAATAACATATGCTGTCTTGATTTAGTTCTTCAGTGTGGCAAGATGGAGATCATGGAAATGGGAGGTTGGTGAGCTTCTTATTGATCCCTTGCCAAATTTTAGGTCAGATATTTGAACAGTCTTTCGGGACTGCAAAAATGAAGTTGAGATAACTAGTAGCCAACATGTGTTTACCAAGTCTTGGAAAATAATCCAATTTGGGTGGAGAAATGTCCAGTAAGAACTTTGAGTCTAATGATTTTCTTGGATTCAAGAGAAGTAAATACAGCAGTCAGCTGGATTTGCAGCTGGTTGAAAGAGGACCCTGGGTACTGGTACTGAGCTCATGTCACCTTTGGGGGAGGTCTAGTAATATGTCACAGAGCTTTCTTTTTGGCTTTGTCCTCTATCAGTTCTGTGGGTGTTTAGGATAGCAAGCATATTGGATGGCAGAGCCAGGATTTGAAAGCATCTGAATTGACTAGAATGCAGAGATTAAGCAGAAATATGAAATAAAAAGAAATTTTGTTTGTTAAAATTAATACATGCTCATTGTAGAAAACCTTTATAAATTAAAGGAGAAACAAAATGGTACATAGTACCACAACTTAGAGATGAGTATAGTTAATATTTTGGTATATATCTCTCTAAATTTACATTCATGCAAATCTATATATTTTAACATAATTGCAGTTATACTCTATCCTGTTTTTTCCATATTGAATATTATATAGTAATATCCCATGTCATAAAAAATGATTTAAAGTCATAATTGTAAGGACCTGAAAACGATTACCTTATA